AAGAAATTCCCCTCTGAATATTGAAACAATAGAATTTCATTAATGAGCGTGAACACACGGTTTTGCTCGTGGTTCCAACAACTTACGCTCATTAACGAATTTCTGTTGTCTTAGCATTCACGCGTTTACACATTCACGCGAAAAGGGGGAATTCTGCGATAATTTATAGCGTGTTAGGAAGAGCGTGATTAGCTCTGTTATGTGTGCAAGTATCAAAGTTACAGCTTTTGTGTGGGCCGAGAAAATCTCCTCTGAATATTAAAACAATGAATTTGGTTAATGAGCTTGAAAACTCCGTTTTGCTCGTAGTTCCAACAAGTTGCCAAAGGCTCATTAACAAATTTCTATTGTTTCAATATTCATGCTTCTGTATCTCCGTAAAAATAATTAATTCTGGGATAATTTCATATGCTTTAGAAAGAGCGTGATTATCTCTGTTATGTGTGGAAGTATCAAAGTTACAGCTTATATGTGAGCCAAGAAATTCCCCTCTGAATATTTGAACAATAGAATTTTGTTAATGAGCTTGAAAACTCCGTTTTAGTCGTGGTTCCAACAAGTTGCCAGAGGCTCATTAACGAATTTCTTTTGTTTCAATATTCATGCCTTTATATCTCTGTAAAAATGGGGAATGAGCGTGATTATCTCTGTTATGTGTGGAAGTGTCAAAGTTACAGCTTTTGTGTGAGCCAAGAAATTCCCCTCCGAATATTGAAAAAACAGAATTTCGTTGATGAAATTGAAAACTCCGTTTGTCAAAGGCTCATTGACGAATTTCTATTGTTTCAATATTCATGTGTCTATATCTCTGTAAAAAAATGGGGAATTCTGGGACAAGCTTTAGCACGTTAGTAAGAGCGTGGTCAGTTTTGTTTTGTGAGTAAGTATGAAGGTTACAGCTCTTGTGTGGGCAAAGAAAATCTCCCCTGAATATTGAAACAATAGAATTTCGTTAATGAGCTTGAACACTTGTTGCAATATTCATTCGTTTATAACTCCGCGAAATGGGGGGATTCTGCGACCAGTTATAGCGCGTTAGCAAGAGCGTGGTTAGCTCTGTTCTATGTGCAAATGTCAGTTACAGCTCTTGTGTGGGCTGAGAAAATCTCGTCTGAATATTGAAACAATACAATTTTGTCAATGAGTTTCAAAAATTGAATTAGCTTGTGGTAGATGTCTACTGTGAGTAAGTTGTTAAGTCGCAGCTCTTTTGTGGGTCCAAAAATTCCCCTTTTAATATTGCAAGGAAATAGTTTATCGATGCTCGTGGGGAGCATGTGTCCTCAGGGTGGAAGAACTATATGTGTACTGGTGGATAAAAGAGGAGGAATAGCAACTTCAAATGTTTATTGCCATATGGTATTATCGTCGCAGAAAGGAAAACACTGCAAAACTGAAGTAAGATTTTTATTCCCAACATGAAAGTAACATGTTATCAAGATAAAATGCTGTGTTAGGAATTCAAATGAATTCTTAATCTTTTTACGCCAGTATCTAAGAAACACATCTCGCTAGACTGGCATAGTTTTTTAAACTACTTCGTGATAGGAAAGTGAAAAAATTATAAAAAATTGGTTTAAAACATTAACAAAACCTTTGAGCCTTTTGCCTTTAAACCACAAACTAATTGAATAGACAAATGGGAGATAGTGAAGGAAATAGTTCATTAGTTGTAAGGACAGCCTCCAAGGTAAACATTTCCACCTAATTCCACAGGATTGGCAAGCTTCAGAGACTTCGCTGCATTTCTATCTTTAGACTCCAAGTTACGTATGCAACCCGTGTACCTCTCGGTAGCCGTCACACCTTTAGCCTCTACACCCGCTGCAGGACAAAACATTCAATATATTGGGTCAGAGAGGAATTAAGAGACACCACATCACTTGAACAAACAAAAAAGGTTGTTAACTTTTACTTGCGCTTCATCGGCAGGCAAATCGTATAATAACAGGATCACGAATGTTGATTTGAAGAAATACAAGAGAGCGCTGTTACGAATTATAAAATATATAAAATATATTTTAACTTATTCTTTGGAGGGTAAATAGAAACGCTGACCAAGGGGAACAAAGAGTTATGTAAGCTTTGCTGAGCCATGCGACTGGGGTAAGTTATTCATTAGTGTCTATTTCTTAAGATACTGTGTTGATTATTGATAAGGAGTTGATAAAGGAACATAAACCGTCGTAGCAGTGTTTGAAAACATAAGTTTCAGCACGTTTCCTTCACGATTACTCCATCTTCGAGGTCGTGTAAAATGCAGGAGTATGAAGACACGGTTTTTCTAAGATTGATTCCTTCATGGCGAGGAGACAAAATCACTGAACACCACACATAGTCATCAACGAGGAAACTGAATCACAGACAAGAGGCTAACTACGCATGCACCATGTACCTACCTGGGAGACCTCCGACATACAGAGGGTCGTAGATATTTGCGTTGGTTTGAGATCCTTTTCTTTCACCTTCCAGTATTGTTCCTTCGTCAACTTGAAGTTTCACCAAATTCCCTTCTTTCCAGGCCCTAATCTTGTGCCACTGTCCGTCACAGAGTCGAAGAGGATCCTCGGCAGTATTCTCCACCACCAGCTGCCCCCCGCCATTTTCTGCCCGGAAGATCACCTTTCGCAACAAATAATAAAGAACTCTTTCAGTTTGCTGGTCTGAATGATAAGAAGTGGGGGGAAGACGATTCAAATGAACTAACGATGCTGAACGATCCCTACCATTTTCATGACCTAACACTGTTCTGATAAATGAGCATTGAGCATGCGCTATTGGGAATACGTACGTTTCCGCGAATAATCTCTAACACAATGTAGTCTCCCTTGGAATTTGAAGATGATAACAGAAGACCCGTGTGAGACGTTGGTTTTATTTCCATGGAGATCACTTCATCCATTCCCACAGTGTAAGTTTTGGCTGCAAAATAAACATAATAAAAATATATTGATTAGTAACTACCAACCTGAGAGATTTAATCTTTTTCAGATCCAGGTGCTTACAGCATTTTTGGGACGAGTGGGCACGAGGAGACCCATAGGAAGCATTTTAAGAAAATCTCAGAGGCACACCATTGGTTAATTTGATCAATTTCTCTGAGTACAAACTCACCAACTTGCAGGTATCCACCACCCATGTCAAAGCTGACTCCTGAAGTAGGACTGTCTATGTAACAATCTTGAACCTTGATTAGACTTGAAGGTTCACCAATATCGTCATTATTGACTTTAACGTTCCTGATGCATCCTGGGAAACTTGCACGTGCACCAACCTGAAAAGAATCAAAACAGTGAATGAGTAATTGATGCTAACTGGCGAGTATCTACGACAACAAGCAAAACAAGTCTATTACAAGGGTTTTGCTTAGGGTTAGTGAGAGTTTTTCTCTTACAGGATGAATTGTTCAATAAAGAGGATCTTCATGATCTCCTGAAACAATACAGGATACGGCAACAGAGAGGTAAACATTCAATTAAACCAAAATAATAATCGTAGAGGAGAGAACCCACACAGTACAGAAAAGATTGGTTCACGACACCACCCAAGAACCAACAGAACGCAGATTTTCTTCTAAAAAAACCGAAACATCTCAAAATCGTGAGACAACGTTTGAACATTCACTTATCAAAACTTAAGGTATAACTAACTTCCCCCTCCCTCCCTCTCTCCCCCGCAAATAACCTTGTACCCTTACTAGGTGCTGATGACGTATTACAAAAACAGTTATCTATACTGGAACACCGCTGACCGTGACTCGCTTTGCATCAAAACCCTGTGGAGTGCCTCCTAGGTACAGCTCCTTGAGTCCATTGATAAACTTAGGAGAGCCAGCGGCGGCTCCAGTCATAACAAGTGTACCATCCACGAAAAGCGTGCCGTCCACCCCATCGCGCGTGAGTTGTACCTAAAAATTAAAATAATCGGTTTAACCCACCATACCTTCCCTAACGTGACAGAATACTTCTCAACTGAGTTTGGGAAGTATATTTCCATGAACTCTAAAAGAAATTAAAATATAGAACACACAAAAAAATACAAAAAATAACGAAAACAACGATAATATAAACAAAAACCAAATCAAACAAAAAAACGACAAAAAAAATCTAAGCAAGAAACGAAACTGACTGTGTGCCAAGTGCCATCACTGTAAACTGCATCAGGTGAGGTGAGCCGCAGGATACCCCCTCCGGCGCTAAAGCCACAGGACACATTCCCATTTAGCAAATTGCACACAATAAAGTCCGCTTGCTTGTCGTTATCGATTGCGGTATATAAAATGATTCCGTCCGGATTTGAAGCACGGAAATCAAAGCTCAAATCAGTCCTGAAAATGGATGTAAAGATACATTACCATTCGGAAGAGACTTAAAAGGTAAGAACACCCCGCACAACGTTTCTTAATCTCCTTCCCCCGCTCTTCCACCCAATTTTAAAAGACCACAGGACGCGTATGGAAATTGGAGATTTCATATCACTTTACGATATTTAAGAACTGTAAATTTACGTCAATCCGTTTCTTGCGTGACTATCGTTCTCAATTAAACCATAAAAATGCATAAGCATCACTTTCCAGAACTACTGTTTGTATATTGACTGATGCTCCAACTTACGTCGAACTGATTAACTTGGAGAGAACTTTATTTCCAGTCACAGTATACATTGCATGACTATTGAGATCATAACCAAATCCTAACACTCCAGTTCCATTCTCTTGTGCTGGTTTCTCTGGCACTTGACACACTTGAGGTGGTGTTGTTGTTGTTGTTGTTGTTGTTGTTGGTGTTGATGTTGTTGTTGTTGGGGGACCTGTGGTTGTGGACGGAGGAGGGCTGGTTGTTGTGGTCATTTCCCCAATATCTGGTGGTTCTGTAAAGAATCAAGAGGGAGACGCAAAACAGAGCGAACAGTCGACCCACCACAAAACCAGTGTAACAATATGAAGAAAATAACCACTTTTCCCGCAGGTTTTCAAGCCTTTTCCAGGCGTTCAATTTGTGAAGCGGAGCGAAATAGTGAACGGTGAGATAGTAGCAGCGGAACAAAAACGAGAGAGGTTTGGGTCGGGTTCTTCATTTCGCGACCCGAGCCAAAACTCCCTGATTTTTTTTTTCACTCCTCCTCTACTATCGCGCTGTTTACTATCGGACCTCGTCTGACTAACTGAACGCCTGGAACAGGGTAGAGGTTTTCCGACGTAAATACATCCACAAAGAAACATACATATTTACACTGCAATTTCCAAATCTAAGAATTATATCACACTCAACTAAAACCAAACAGTCTTATCTCACGATGATTTTGCAATTCTAGAAAGAAAAAAAACGGTACCGCACGAAATTTTAAAATTCGTGCGATTAGGAAAAAAAAAAATCAAAATTTTTAACCCTCACGGAGAAATGATCTTCATCACACATTCAATACGTAGCTTTCTTTGTTTCAAATACACTCCTTTCAAATTTAGCAGAAGGAAAGATGTCTCTTACTCTCAATTATGTCCAGCTTAGGCGACGGTTCTGAGTAATCATCATTATCAAATATGACATTTCTTCTCCTCTTATACTTTTCGAAGTCAAACAGTCTGTAAACGAACAAATCAAATGGAATATCAACCGCAGAGGTGAGGAAAAATTACCATCTCGCAAGTAAGTAGTTGTTAAGCTCGCTTAGACAAAGTTTGATGGTCAGAATGTTTTGTGGGGGTGATTTGGTAGCGCTCAGTCCTCAGTCGTTAAAAATAGTTGCATTTAACACAGAGTCGGACTACAGAGTCACACTTCCATTTGCTGTGACAAGGTGTGGTGGAAGGGGGGAAGGAGATGTAAAGGGGTGTAATGCTCACTGAATGTAATGGCCACTTCGTTTACACCAAAAGACTTGGTTGTAAGCACGGATGAGCTAACCATTGCAGTGAATTACAGCGAGCTTTCACTTTGATTAACCGACTTCACTCGGCTAACCGGTACACCTAGCGATTTTCCCTTTTTTTCTCGTTTTCTTCTTCTTCTTCTTTAAGGGTTGGGGGGGGGGGGAATGACGGCGGCGAATTCAGGCCGATAGATGTTCACCTAATGCGTGCTCTTCCCCTCTGCCTTTGGTTGCATAGGGATTTAAACATACCAACGGCTATGACCAGATTGATCTCTCCAAACGGTACGAGAAGGTAAAACATTGAATGAAAAATGCGTGGAGCATATGAGTTATTGAAGGAAGTATTCAGACGATTCTTTCTAAAATTACGACCAAAAACATCAAACTATAAAGTACAATTTGAACTCACGTTTGATCAAAAGTCAAGTCTCGGATGGAGCCGCCCTTCAGAGAATTGAGAATAACATTGTCAATATTGCTAATTCTAACAGTATCCATGTAGTTTTCAGGGATTCCTCCCAGATACATATCGTTAGTGGTCTGAATCAACTGCTGCATCACGTTTTCAAATACTGTTACTTCTGGATCCTCATCGTCCACACGCAGAGAAATCCTGATAATAACGAGAAAAACAAAACAAAACAACGCTGTCAAAAACAAAAAAACTTACATAACCTATATAAAACTTATTCTGAAAAGAGAAGGTATCTCAAAGGAGCCAGTATGAGAATGCATGCAGCTACTGACATTGCGCAATTTTTACTAGCATTGAACATAAATAGGGGTTTTAACATGACGCTAGAAGATTGCAGAAGATTTTTATTCCCATATAAAAAAAAATACCCACCGTATCCCACATATTTATGAATACCCTTTTTCAGAAGAGAAACATGATTTAAGAATATGGTGACTAATTGACATTCAACAAATAATTGAATGGTAACAATTGAAGAAATGTAAAATGGTTTCCGTGTTTACATAGCCTGATGTAAACATGCGGGAGGTTTCCAGCTTATCGAGTGTTCTCCCAAACTCCCAAGTGTTTACATCGGGCTATGTTAACACGGAAACCATTTTACATTTCTTTTATACAATAACTAATGAAAGAGGAACGAAAACCGTGTTTACATACGCTCATGTAAAATGGTTTTATGGCCAATCAGAGCGCGCGTACTATGTGAATTATTTTATAATAATAATTAAACTAGGATCCTTTTAATTTTGCATTTTTGTCAGACTTCCTACAAACACGAAAAGAGCCGAAATTCATAATACATGAGACTTAATATCATTTCCCGCAAAATTTGTCTTTTCTTTTTTGCTTACCCTATACCAATCTGACGAACGAGTACAAAATGCCATTTTCCATCATTGTATTCAGCTTTACTCGTTACAGATACAGCTCTGTTTCCAGGGCTGGCTGAAAATCGCAGCTTTCCGTCAATCAAGCCCAAGGCAATAAAATCCAACTGCAATTAGACATTGATAAAAAAAAAGAAAACATTCAATAAGATTAGCCTCGAGATTTTTTTTTCTTTTTTTGTGACCACCTTATTTTGACAACAAATCAACACTCAGAAGTTTCCTTTTTCCAAACCCTTCTACTTTTGCAAGAAAAAAGGGGAAAATTGATCAGACCAATATCCGGATTATATGCTGACCATTTAGAGCCCCAACTTTGAACAAAAAAAAAGTTCAACCAACAAAGTCTTTGACTTCTACGCCCAACATGATGCAAGCCTTGGCTTGTAAGCTCAATAAAATGCCCCAAAACATTGAAAATGCCAAAGAAATATCACTGGAATTTCTCAGCATGTCACTAACCGACGAGCATGAGTAAGTGTAGAACTCTTGCTCCAAAAAAAGTAATTGGATGGAAAAATTTTGCTGTGTTTTGACGTGGCTTTGAAGAACTCAAACTGCATGATAATGAAAACTAAAGAGGAATCAGAAGGTTGGAATGAATCACTCACTTCTTGACCATGAGTCTCCAGGAAAATAAGCCCATTTTTAGTTTTGTGGTCAACTCTGAAGGACAACCCAATATTAAAACCTCTTCTTTGCTGACCCAGAAATGGTTCTATAGCAAGGTAGCTCGTTGCTCCAAGGAATGTCACATTATGTGCTGGCTGCAGATCAGAAAATCAGGAAAAGCGTAAGAGTATTCTACAATATCATAAATAAGTACGATTTATTGCTCTCTCTTATTACGGAAAGACGATGCAAACCCTTAGCACAAAATGAGAATTCCATTTGAAGAATTTTTTTCAACACATCTTTGGCTTTGGCTTTTTTATTCCTGGTGGTGCGTAAGCCAAATACTGAATGGCGAAAGGACAATCATGTAATTCACTTCAAACAGTATTCATTTCATTTTGGGGAGATTCTTGAAATAACATACCTTGACTTTACACCCAAAAATGTATCCTGGGCTGGGCTGAACTCTGATTTCACCGGTGGATAACTTCATATCAGACAGACAACCTTTAAAAAAGCTTTTGGTCCTGGATGATAAAGAAAGTAAATGATTTCACAGACCACCAAGTTCAGGGTCTGAGGGAGTACAGCTCCCCTGTCTACATCAACTCAACAAAAACTGACACTGTCTCTGGGAGGTGGGGGTGGGAAGGGTCTATTATTGGTCATAGAATAGATTACAATGAGGCAGGGGTTCTTTGGGGTCACGGCACATACCCAGCAAAAAATTGACCCGAGTACCCTCCCTGTATAAGGTCCAGAACTTGATCCATTTTCATTTTTCAAGTGTAAATGGCTGCAAGCATCACTTTAATCTGGGAGCCCGAGAAAATAATCAGGAGCACCGTGGCAAACTGTTATGCTAAAGCCGACCATCTCAAGCGCCACTGTTTTCTGCCCCAGGCCCCCTTCCTTTCCCCCTACCATCTTCAGGTGTCCATATTTTGACAATTCATCCGTGAAACTGAAAAATATTTCAACAAAACCAACATATTTCCGAGAAGAGTCTAAAAATGGTGCAGGATTTATATATTTACTTATAGCACAAGAAAAAAACTATCCAGCAGCTAGTATGTATAATATAATACTACTCAAAGTACTTACACGTTCACAGGAATGGCAGTTCTGTTCTCCATGCCTCCCCAGTATACGAAGTCAGCATTCACAAACCTGGGGCGTCGATCCTTGTAAAACGATTTACCGTCGGCAAGCACCTCACTCTTGCCGTCTTCGGATGTAATACTTAATGAAAACTTGAAACCTCTTCTATCAAAATCCCTCTTTACAATGGTGACCTCCACTCCATTGTCATACAACTTTGTGGAAGTCAGCTTTCTGTATCCATGACCCATATTGTAAGAGAGAACAACGCGCCCGTTAATTAACTCAAGGGCCTGGAAAAGAGATGCATCATCATCATCAATGGCAATAACCAAGATTCCATTTGAGGAAGTTGTTCTAAATTTTAGATCGAAGGTTCCCATAGGATCATCCTCTTGATACGGTCCAGACTTGACATAACCAGTACCAAAGAAAGTTCTGGGTGCGTTTTCTTCATCCACAGCAAATTCTGTGGCACCCTTACGCGAGGGACACACTTCATTTTTCGAAGGTTTCTCAAGAATCTACAAGGAATTAAAATAAAAGGAAATATATCATAAAGAGTGCGCAAATATTACTGTAAGTTTAAATGTAATTTACTTAAGGATGAAAGGCGAATGTTTCCTGACTGAGATCGCCGACTTAGTTCGCCAAAATGACACGTCCAACAATTCATCAAGTTGACCCAAATCCCAACAACACACAGCCTACAAGAACCAAAATTTAAAATAACGGACCTTCAATACCGTATCTGAGAAATTTTCAAATGAGTGTCGCAGGTAATCCACAATTGCTTTAGTTTCACTTAACTTTGCTCTGTAAATGGACCAGAAAATTCGAGCCATCCTTTCAACAAATCAGATGGAAAAGTAAAAACAATTGCAACTTGGTCATTCACGTTTTCCCGCGCTTGGTTTCACTCTGAGCTCTCATTGGCTAATGATAATGTACACCTTTGTTTTGATTGGATCACCGAGATAATTTGGGCTTTGGTTTTCCGACATTTAATTAGACACTGCTCTTAATATAAGTTAAGTTAAGAAGCAGGTAACTCAATTTCACCTGCAGTGAAAGACATACCTCGGTGTTCCATGATCCTACAAAATGATAATTCATTTCCAGGCCATCAATACATCCTGTATAATTAACCGCTTCAACTTTAGATGGCAGTTTCATTTTCGCAGGAACACCACCAACAATCAAATCACTGTCCTCGTTGAATACTATTTTGGGATTATCCAGTTTTAATGACCTCCGCCCTATTACAATCTCCTCTTTTTTATTAACAAAGTACTTAATTGTAAGACTTGCCCAATCTCCGGCCCTGTAAATCAAAACAGAAAAACCAATCATTATAATAAGGAGATAAATAAACCCTCATGTCTCACATGCAAAACAGAAAACGTGCTGCATCCCACATATCTATGAGTACCCTGTTCCATCAGACTCTGATGGTGACCTCCGCTCAGGAAACGTCGAAACGTCAGTCACCACTACCGACGACAGTTCTTCTTAGGACTACACTCGTACGGACGATCAAACTACGTTATTACGTGTTACGCCCGGGTTCTAACCATTTACTGTAATATGGGAGGTAGTAGCAACAAAAACTTGTGGAACCTATTAACAATAACAGCTTAATACAATGACCTCTTTGAGTAAGTCCAAGGCTTCTTGAAATCTTCTCAGCACTTATTCAGTTTTACTGTTATCATTTCGTCGAGCATTGTGGTGCGTTTGTGGAGGCTACAGTAGACAATCGCGTGATTGTTCAGGCTGTTTTGTTTTCCTTTTTTTCAGTATTTTGTTTCTCGATGCCCTCCAAGTTAACAATAATAGTAGAGTGTTCTTGGGTATAAATATGTTTTAGGCCCTTCTAAGAGTCATGTTAACCCTCGCCTCACGGCTCAGGCTACAATGTCTCTGAGTTGTGCCCACAACGTTAAGATTTCCGCATACACAAACTCTTTTGTTTTATTTCAAAACTACTTTTTGTTCAGTTTATAATGGCGAATAACCTTGCTCTTGATCATTCAAATTCACCTTAACAAACTGTTGTAGGTTTAAAAAGATGTTACTGTTTCCGTTCTCCATCTCACTCTTTAAACAGCCATGATCAGCATATTATTACAAATCACACAGTATTAAAACACTGAAACTTACATGTCAACTTCAAGCTTATACCAGACATTGCCGGTAGTCTCCATCTCAAAATCGTTATCTTTCACCCCAATCTCCACAAGTCCCTTAACTGCTGTGCATATCTTCAACTGTGGTTTCCTTTCCTTCAACTGCACAGCTATGTAATCCGTCTTGCAGTCAGATTCCTGAGACTGACGTTTTTGGCGACGAGTGCTGGTGCCTTCTGCATCTCCCAGGAACATTACCAAGCCATCGGGCTTATCAGGGTTCAAATACATCAAGATGTTCATAGCTCTAACTTCCTGCTTCATAGCAGGAGGTAATATTGGTGAACTTGTAGCCTCCCCATCAAACTTCATAACAGGTGTGGTGAACTTGAGCAGATTATTTGCCTTAATCATCATATTTTTGATGTCCATTAAACGTCGCGACACCTCAGAGTCCAACTCGTTAAGAATCTGCTGGTGTCGTTTTTCCTGAATCAGCACTTTCTCTCTAATTTCCAAAGACATATTTAAACCATTCATCACTTGTTTTTCAGCTTCTGTTATGTTGCTGTTTGTCGCGACAATAGAGTCCCTTAGCCCAGATAGGTCACTCAGCTGATCCTAGGAGGCAAAGGCAATGTTGTTTTGTTTAATTGCTACAGTTAGCACGATGAGAAGGTCAAGGAGTCAGGACGATAGTTTATTGTATTAACATTAAACAAACACTTTCGAGCGCGAAAATGATTATCTTATTGGTAACAAAAATTCAGAAAGTTTCAAAGCTTGCAACACATCATAGTTTTATGAATGCAAACATAAGACTTCATTAAAACAGCTTTACACTCACTTTCGACTTTGTGACAACGTTTTAAAATCAAACTTTTTGTTTACACTAGCACAATAGACGTTTTATCGAAACCAAATTTCCAACACAGCACCTTAATGTCTTCAGCTTTCTTCCTTGCATCGTCTGCTCTGGTTTTTGAATCTGTTGCATTCTCCCCAAGTTCACGACCTTTCCCATCTGAGTCATAAAATATTCTTCTTTTACTATTTGCGTAACAAACAGCGTGTTATCCTTTCACCCCATAAGAGATTAACCTCTAACTTCCCCCGTTAATGTACATACATTGTCCAGCAAATAGGTATTGAGAATATTCAAGCAGAAGTTGTTATCTTGATCTAACACCAAATTCCCATAACTATTTTCCAAGGAATGTATAGCAGCTAGAAGGGAGAATTAACAATCTTGGGAGTTAAAAGCAAATAATAATTCTCTGATCTTAAAAAAAACATGCAACAGAACAAATGGTATTCAGTTACTCTATTTCAGTGGAAAAACCAAAACTATCAAAACTTACCCATGAGATCTGTCAGTTCCTGTAATTTAGGAAAATTTGAGTCTACCTCAAGGAGATCCATGGAGACATTTCTGATTTTAGCTTTGATAAGTGCCAGCCTAGTCTTGACATCATTCAGTAGGTCTAACAGTTCATTGTCCACTTTATCCTCAGTGCTTGACACAGTCTCATTTAACACTTCACTCACATTCAGTGATTTCACTGCTCTGTTGCTGAGAGATTGGGACTAAAAAAGAAAAAGGACAAAATTTGAGTCGCTTTTCAGTACACATCAACTAAAACAAGAATCACCACTGACCACTAAAGAAGATGATATTAAGGGGGGACAGTTACTGTTTATTGCATGAAGGGGGGGTTGGGTTATTTGGTTTCTGTCACAAAATAATTCCCCGGATCCCCCCTAAGTCTCTGTGATAACTTGTTACCCCTTCCCCCCCTCATTCATTGGCAGTCAATTCTCTACAGTCCTTCCTTTATACTCTCTCTGATTGGTCTCTAATCTCCTCAAAACACAAATATTAAGCCATTCACACCTTTATTCTCTACCTCTGTATAACTACTACTTCTGTTCAGTTCTCCAAGCCCACAAAAAATAGTACCTGACCCGTGGAACATTTTCACAAGTCTCCGAACAACTTTGCTTCATTTTCTTCTCAAAGTCAAATGTAAAATACTCACCAGTCACAGCGTACAGAAACAAAGGCTCAAACAAAACCACTTCATGAGGAAAACTCTTGTTTCATTGAGCACATAGCAACTTAAAAACAAGAGTCACTTGAACAATAAAATCAACTAACAGGAGACATAAGAGGAGACGTGGGTGACACCCCCAACCCCTACACTCCTCCTC